GGGAAACCAAGGAAATCTTCGCCCATGGGTCGTTCAACCTGCGGAAGTGGATGTCGAACTCGCCGGTCCTAATGGCCGTCTTCAGAGAGAATGGAGACGGCGTCGAAAAGTTCGACGTAGCAGACTGGTATAATGTACTGGGCATGCAGTACAATCCGGGAACTGACTCCATGAAGCTCAAGGTGCCGGCCCAAGGCGCGATACCCGAGATCGTCACGAAAAGATCTGTGTTAAGTGCCATCGCTTCAATCTTCGATCGCATGGGCATCGCAGCTCCACTCTTGGTACATGCGAAGCTGCTGATGCAAAAGATGTGGTCGTTAAATCTGGCTTGGGATGATCCAGTGCCGCAGGAGGTCGAGAGAGACTTCAAAACATGGTCTAAGGAACTGAAATACCTGGATTCCATTGTAATCCCACGAAGCTACTGGCAACATGACACTCAGGACTCGAGAGTTTTGCACGTATTCTCTGATGCGTCTCGATATGCATATGGTTTCTGTGCATATATTGTTTCGAGATCGGCTCAGGGTTGTACGAGCTCATTCCTTCTCGCCAAGTCCAGAGTGGCACCACTGAAAAACGCAACGATCCCGCGACTCGAACTCATGGCAATGACTCTGGCGGCCGAGGCTATCGACTATATTCGAACGCACTGCGGTATCGCGTTCGACGAACAACACGTATGGACCGACAACTCGGGAGTATACTTCCAAGTCACTTCGGAGCAACCAGAGAAACTGGCAACATTTGCACGAAGTCGTGTTCTCAAGATTAAGCGTCTCACCAACGGCACTGAGATTCATCATGTCCCCGGAGAGCTAAATCCAGCTGATTTGGTGAGCCGCGGCTGCACGTTCAAGGAGTTCAGCGAGAGCATCTGGCTAACAGGGCCAAAGTTCATCACGGAACCAGCGCATAACTGGCCAAGGCTCGCGAAACAAAAACATCTAGTCATCGACGCTCATATGGTCGGAATCGAAGAGACACCGTTCAAAAGCTTCATTGTCACAAGACCAGAACCACCGATACAGGTCAGCGTCAATTTAATCGACAAACCAACAGCCGAGCGTCCTCCAGCGGTAATTCTGCGATTCGACACGTGCAGTCGATGGTCGATCTATCTCCGAGCAATAGTCCGATTTCGGAGGGCGATCGATCATTGGAGACATCGAATCACGAAACGCGAATTGACAATGCCAATACTCCAAGCGGAACTCACGCGTGCTGAGGAGTTTATCGTCTCGCAAGTACAAGCAGAATGCTATGGCAATGAATACCGATGCCTCCTCACAGATTCCGGCCTACCGAGAAAGTCAACATTGAGAGTGTTCAACCCATTTCTCAAGGACAATCTCATCGCCCTCGGGGGAAGATTGGGAGATCATTTAGGTGATCTTCCCAAGAACCCTATAATTCTCCCACCCAAACATCCGGTTACGAAGATGATCCTCAGGTACATCCACGAGCGCAGTTGTCACGCTGGCCCTCGACTAGTCCTCATGACGGCTCGCCAGAAGTATTGGGTCCCGCAGGGCAGACGACTAATCCAGAATTTGATCCACGGCTGCAAGAACTGTAGAGTATTCCATGCAAAACCCGTATCAACGCCCATGGGACCGCCGCCCGACGTCCGAGTGACGAAATCCCACCCGTTTGAACACGTCGGAACAGACGTGATCGGCCCTTTGTTCATCAACGAAGCAAAGGAACAGAAGAAGATATGGATAATCATCTTTACCTGCTGTGCTATGCGGGCCATACATCTAGAAATATTGAACTCACTATCAACAACCGAGTTCATGATGAGCCTTCGCCGCTTCAAGGCACGTCGTGGCTGCCCTAGAACCTTCTACTCGGACAACGCCAAAGCGTTCAAACGAGCAGCGGAAGATCTCAAGGTCTTGGGAGAAATCATGCAGGGAACGACGGTCCGGGAAGCACTCGCCAGAGACGGAATCGAGTGGAAATTCTCAATTGAAAAATCTCCATGGCAGATGGGATTTACGGAGCGCCTTGTCGGGAGCGTCAAGTCAGCACTCAGGAGGGTACTCGGGAAGGCGGTGGTCAACGCACAGGAGATGGCAACCGTGCTGTGCGAAGTCGAGCTAATGGTGAACAAGCGACCACTCTGCGAGGTGCCAGACGCTGAGCATATCGATGTGTTAACGCCATTGCATTTTCTGGTTATCCGCACCGAAGACCCCACCCAGGACTCGGCTGTCCCCGCTAAACTCAAGTCGAGCGATGTATTAAAGCGATGGAGACACAAGAAGACGATTGTCGAGTCCTTGTGGAAACGTTGGGAACACGAGTATTTGTTGCTCCTCCGCAATTTCCATGAGACTTCTCCTCGCGATTTACAAACGCTCAAGGTTGGACAGGTTGTCATTATAAAGGATACCCAGACGCCAAAACTATGTTGGAAGATTGGGCGAGTAGAGAAGTTAAATATCAGTAGGGATAACATTGTCAGATCATGTATGTTGAGGATGGGGAACGGTAAAAATCTACAGAGACCGTTATCGCTTTTATACCCTCTGGAAATCGAATAATCCATCGAACTGAAGATTGAATAATTACGGCGCATAGAAAAACGTAAAATATTGTAATGATCTCAATCCCCGCCCCGGAGTGTCGACGGTGCTTAGAGAAAAGGAACCGCCGACGGTTCGTAGCAGCCGACATCGGCGTCGCCGCGCAAGAAAAAAGAGATGAAAACAGTCAGTGAGCAGCGAGAACGTGATCAACCGCGGCACCGCTATAGAATATTGTGAAAACCGAGGAATAAATCGTTCGAGGACGACTTGTGCAGCAGCATTCGGTGTCTTTCATCTACGCAGCGACTAGCACGGAACATTTACTCGGGTCAGGAGCGAGTCTCCTTTACGAGAATCGGTTCCCTCCTCGCGTGCCCGACCATCTTCGGCTGGGTCTGCTGTGGCAGCGACGGCTCCTACCAGATCCGAAACTCGGTTTTCACGTCGTCTTCGGTCGTTCAGCACGTCGTAGCCGCATCGGGAATCCAAAAAGCGCCGGCGGTCCAGCGGGAGGAACGGTATGCCGATCTTGAGCTTTTATGGGATACGGACATTCTCGGCATCGAGAGCCCCCTCCCGCCGGACGCAGAGAGAACCGGAGAGGAGTTGATCAAATTCTTTAAGGATACAGTGAAGCGCACGGAGGATGGCCGCTATTCGGTTTCCCTCCCCTTTCGCGATAACGTCTCCACTTTGGGCGACAATCAAAAAATTTCGTTCTCAAGGCTCCTGGCCTTTCTAAAAAGCGCAAAGAAGGACCCCTCCCTCCTTAAGGCGGTCGATAAGGAGATCAGGAAATATATCGACTCGGGATTCGCGGAACAGGCTGACCCGCGAGAACCAGGCGAGCGCGCTCACTATCTACCAATTCTAGCGGTGGCGAAGAAATCCTTGTCAGAAGCGTCAGAACGAAAAATCAGAATCGTCAAAGACTGCGGCTGTCGTTCCAAAGAGGAAGCCGCGTTAAATGACGTGCTAGAAAAAGGGCCAAACCTGCTGCCCGACATTCTTTCCGTCCTCAACAACTTCCGGAAAAGTCCGATCGTAATCGTTGCGGACGTTCAACAAGCGCTCATGCAAACGCTGATTAACGAAGACCACAGAAAATTTCTTCGTTTTTTCTGGCCTCTAGGCATCTCGGAAGACCCAGAAGCCCCGATAAGGGAATACTGGGCGACAGTTCTCGATTTTGGTCTCTCATGTTCCCCCTTTTTGCACTGTCAGGTGCTTCGCCACCACCTAGATTGGAGCATCGAGAAGTTCCCAGGGAAAGCGGACATCCTCCGGGGAATCCGGGACACTTTCTTTATGGATGATTTCTGCGCTGGGGCTTCATCGATCAAGGAAGCGAAGGAAACGACAAGGTTAATTATTGACGTCTTCTCCAGCGGTCATTTTCCGCTCGATAAGTGGGCGACAAACAATAAATTAGTTGCCGATTACATTTCACGAATCGTAGGCCCGGACCGTTCGGTATCTGCATCGAACACCCGCGGCAAGTTCATGGGAATCTCGTGGAATCAAGTATCAGATTTTCTCTTCATCGATGTCGACCCCGTTGTCGCTTTCCTGGAATCGGGTCCGATCACCAAACGGCAGCTACTCAAGGGTCTCAGCCAGGTATTCGACCCGCTCGGTCTCATTGCACCGATTGCCATCGCGCTAAAAATGATTCTTCAGACCATCTGGTCGAGGAAAATCGACTGGGACTCGACTCTCACAGACGATTTGTGAGAAAAGTTCGTCGAAGCGACAAGTAACCTGGAAAACCGTTCCCTCATACAGATACCTCGACATTTGTTCGAGTACGACCTGGGGAAGTCACGCCGCGAACTTCATGTCTTCGCAGACGCCTCGCTATCGGGCTACGGTTGTGTAGCATACATAAGGGAGATTCCCTTGATTCAGTCGAACACTCCGGCCTTCGTCATTTTCGTCATGGCCAAGGCCAGGGTTGCCCCCCTCAAGGGCCGATGGACCATCCCGAGATTGGAGCTTATCGCGGCTCTTTTGGCTGCACGTCTCTCAAACTCGATCAAAAAATCATTCGGCTCAAATATCGACGCCACCTTCCTCTACTCCGACAGCAGTTCGGTCCTTGGCTGGATAAGAGACGATCCCTCCCGGTGGAAGCAATTCGTCGCCAACCGTATTGAGGAGATTCAGTCCATCTCAGACCCTTTAGCGTGGAGTTACATCCGTACGCACGAGAACCCGGCCGACCTGCTCACTCGAGCTTCCCCTCTTGACACAACGGTCTCAAGGGATCTGTGGCTGAAAGGGCCTCCTTGGCTTCTAAAGCTGGAGAAACCCGTAGACCACCCGCTGAATCCGATAGACGCGAAGGTGCTCAATGAAAAGAGAAATGACACGATCAATGCTGTGGCGTCTACATCGAATACCGATGTCACTGTGTTTGGAAAACAGTTCGGTTCATGGCGCCGGGCGGTTTGAGTTTTTGCTTACATGCTCCGCTTCGCCTCCAAAACTGGAGACAACAAACCCAAGAGCCTGTCGCTTGAGGCTCAAGAGTTTCAAAGAGCTGAAGACAAACTCATTATCTGCATCCAAAGATCGGCGTTCCCAGCAGAGTTTGATTCTGCTTGTAAGATTATCCCGAGATCCGGCCCGCTGTTCAAATTACGGCCCTTCACCTCATCCGACGGATTCATCCGTTGTGAATCGAGATTAGCGAACTCGTCCGAGATGCCATTCGACGAGATGTTTCCGATCATTCTGCCAGGAGAAAACTTTCTCACGCAACTTCTCGTCCGCCACACCCATGAAGAGGTGTGTTTACATTCGGGCGGCGTCGCGTCGATTCTTCAGGAATTAAGAAAGAGATTCCTCGTCACTAAGGCTAGACGCACCGCAAAGAGCGCGCTCTCGGGTTGTAAGATCTGCCTGAGATTCAGAGCGAAACCCTCCACCGAGGTTCTTCCACCGCTTCCCAGGTTCAGAATAGAGGCTAGCGCGCCGTTCTCCGTTGTGGGAATCGACCACGCCGGTCCGATAGCATATAGGACAGGAACCGGGGAGAAACGAAAAAGCTACGTCTTGCTCTTCTGCTGCGCTGCGACGCGCGCTTGCCGACTCGAGCTGTCATCTGATCTCACTACTCTGGAATTTTTACTGGCACTGCGGCGATTCGTCGCTCGAAACCCGGCGGTCCAGAGAATAGTTTCGGATAACGCCCGCACATTCAAAAAAGCATCAGACGAATTGAACTTCCTTTTTTCTGACGTGAAATCCGCGGAAACCAGAGACTTCCTTCTCTCCAAAAAGATCGAGTGGCAGTTTTCCACACCTAAGTCGCCCTGGCAAGGTGGCTTTTTTGAGCGCATGGTCTCAATGGTCAAACGTCCCCTTAGGAAAATTCTGGGAATCCACTCGCTCAAGTTCAGAGAGCTCGAAGCGGTCCTCTTTGAGATAGAGCGAATGGTGAACATGCGTCCGATTTCGGCCGTCGTCTCCG